AGAAAGAAGGAAGGAAGGAAGGAAGGAAGGAAGGAAAGAAGGAAAGAAGGAAAAGAAAGAAAGAAAGAAAGAAAGAAAGAAAGAAAGAAAGAAAGAAAGAAAGAAAGAGAACATGCTAACAAACAAACAAACAAACAACAACCAGCTGAGATAATCACAGGGCTTCGTATTGTATCAAAGCTTCTTAAAATAAGTCATGACCCCACCTGGGATCACACAACCCAGTGTGGGAGTTGTGAAAATCTGGCCGAGGTCAAAGGTTTCTGAATTTGAAAGAACTAAAAGTGAACCCCAAGGCAAACATGATATGAAATCCGAGCTGCTCCCGATCATGCTCACCCATGCTGCACGGGGCTTCCGATCATGCTCACCCATGCTGCACGGGGCAACCTCCAACCTCCCTGCAGCTTTGCACCTTGCACTGTACACACCACACATGATGACAAGGTCTCACTGAGATATCTTGGCTCAAGTTTGATGCTACTGTGCTTTTCTGCTCTTTTAGAAACACATCAGTTTAATTATGTAAATTTTTTTTAAAAGACTAATTTTTCCACTGACAGTTCTTAGTGTGTATCTAACTACTTTATTATATCTTCAAACTGGAGTGTGTTAGGCAAGTAAGCACCTCCATCCCATTAGTACAATTCAGTCTTTGATAAGTGTAAAGGGATATGTATACCAAGGAATTGTTTTAAAATGATCTTCATTATGATTTATTATCGGTAAATGTCGATTTGTACATTTATACCTATACACCCTGGGTGATCTAAGAGGAAATGAAGAAAAGAGACGTGAATAGCAGAAGTTTTTAAAAAATCCTATAATAGACTACAAAACAGATCTCCTAAGCCTCACCCATATTCACGAACAGTAGCTAAGCACAATTACAAATTAGTAATAAAAGTAGAGCAAAGCACAAGCATACGGAAAAAATAATCTTCTGTTTCTTGTTATTTTTAGGTTACAAAAAAAGGACAAAACTCCATCCAAATCATGTTTAAAATTATTTTGAAACTATTTGAACACACTGAGGGAAGCGATACTAACAAGATGTCGCACTAGGAGGCCTCAGTCACAGCCACAGCCACAGCCACAGCCACAGCCACAGCCACAGTTATTAACAAGACACGGACCGGAATGCCTCTGGGAGACCTCCAGTGAACAAGGAGAGGTTACAGCACACTGGCTGTCAGATAACCAAAATCACATTCCAGTGAAAATGGGAGGGACATTTTCAGAGATGGATGGATCGGATCATGCCCCTCTCTCTACACCACATAGCACAGGTTATCCAGGCTGATGCTCCACCAAAGTGTGGCACCTCCCTAAGACGGAAAACAGAAAGATCGACCTTACACCCAATGTCATGGATTAGCTGAGCTTGCCTTTTAACTGCCGAGCAAAAGCCAGAGTCTAACCACTGAACAGAGTGGTCACATGACCACTCCAGTTCTTTGGACAGACAGTATGGAGAACAAGAGATAAGGAAGATCTGTGACCCTAAAACCCCTAAGTCGGGCCAGTCGACTCAAGAATGGTACTGGAATGTTTGCTTTTTTTTCAAACACAAATATTAAATAAATAAATAAATAAATAAATAAATAAGCACAAAGCATACGAAGAAACAGAGACATGGCCCAATGAAGCCCTGTGATGTGAGTGAGGGCAGATGGAAGTTGCCCCTGCTAATGTTTGAAGACTATCCTAGACAGTCTTCACACAGGAATGAAGAAGCAGCGTGTCCGTCCAGACTATACAAACAAAGTTATCTGTTATTGTTGGCAATAAAATCACATACATTGGAAAGCCCCATAAAAATCAATTACACTCTCAGAACAAGAGGTAGGGCAGCCCGACACAGATATGATTTGGGAAATATAATGGAAAAATTACTATTTCGTTTCTTCTAAAAATCTGTAAGACTTCTAATTCTGGGCTTTTAAAAGTATTTTTTATAAAATACTATTTAGAATTGCTGGTGTTCCTTTATATATAAAGTAGACTGCATTTGTGAAGGACATGGGCTGGCAACATGGCTTGGTGGGTTAAGGCCCTTGCTGCGTAAGACTGGAGATCTGAGCTTGATCTCCAGAACCCACAGTGGGAAGAGATAGGTGACTCCTACAAGTTGTTCTTTGACTATGCACGTGAGATAACACTGCATGTGTGTGAGACTCACACACAATAACAAATAAAACAATAACAATGCTTAGTATATAAAAAGTAATTTATTATGATGGGCAGTCACTGTGGCACTGAATAGCATGGGCCTATATGCCACCATGTTAATTCTCTAAAACGTCCTTGCAGTGTTGCTTAGGCATCCCCGGAGGCTTGGCTCCAGAATTCTCTCCTATGCCTGGGAAGCTCAAAGTCCTTTCTGTAGAACGCATGAGTGTTTGTATATAATTCTTACAAGTCCTCTCATGTTATTTAAGCTATCTCTAGATTACTTATTATGCCTAATACAAATTAAATGCTATAAGTAATCACTATACTGTCTAATGGATACTAGCAAGAAAAATCTGTCCATACTTGGTACACGTGCTCTTTTTTTTTCCCCCCAAAAAACCCTATATATTTTAGACTGACATAAGATCATGGACTCACCACGTAAAAATTTAA